GGCAGATCAGATGAGGATGCTGAATTACTCTCAATGGATGGAACTCAGATCAAAGAAATCTTCTCTAATTTATTGGTGCATCTCAACAGAGCAAAGGTATTGGGAATTTTAAAAATCATAATCAGAAATCAAATAAATGATGAAAAAATAGGGGCATTGCATTTGATAGAAGTTCAGTGAAAATAGATTTTGCCTGTGTTTTGCATGAAAGCACTTTACATTTATTAGTTCATGCTGCATTGCATCTTAGGAACAAATAAATGTTGAGGAGGAAAGTGAATTTCCCCTTCAAAAATTCAAGTTCAATCTCTTCAATATTGTGAAGAAAATATGAGATTTTATAAATAGTAAAATGTAGATAAACCCTGATTTCTAAAAAAAAAAGATTTCTTTGATTTTTTCGAAGCCTTACTCCCTACATAGTTTTAGTCTGAGAAGACTTTTAAGACGAAGTAAACTGCACTTTTTCTCATTAAAAGTACACACCATCTTGTCAGACTCTCTTGATTTTATTTTTATTTGGTTGATGTCTGTGTTCTTTGTAGACATTCCATGGTGTGATCAGTGATGTGATAGGGATAGCAGCCGGAAAGACTCAGGTACCCAGCCCCCGCCCCGCCCCCCCAAGGGAGGACACCCCCCTCAGGGAGGCAGCGCAGCGGCAAGTCTCTGTGTAAGTACACATGTACTATGTACTATTGCCCACCCCCTCCCCAATCTGTGTAAGTACACGTGTACTATGTCATGAATTGTCTCCACACAAAGAATTTTATTTATTGTGTGCCATCATCCATCATCCAGATAATTTGTAGCTTTGAAATGTTCTGCAGAATTCATGAAAAATATTTTGATTATCCAGGAGTGAAGAGGCAGCTGATGTAATGATCACGGAGGCTGAATATGTTACTGTTCAAACCAACCTTAATGAAATGCTGTGTGCTGTGTGTGACCATGCCCATGATCGATGTGTCAAGGTCATTGTAGCCAGGGCAAAGGTATTTATTGTCTATTGCTTGAAATATATGAGCATTTTTGATCACTTTTTGTCTAATGTCCATCTGCCTGTATTAAAATGCCTTGGGAAAAGAGCCCCAAATGAAAAAAAGGGGGAAACAAAATACTACAACAAACTACTTACAAAACATATGTTTTGAAAGTGTTTTGATAGTATAGCAAATCACATGCAAATGAGCTAACAAAACACTATAACAAGTTACTTTGAAAACACTCTAACAAACTACTAACAAAACGCTTTAACAAAATACTTACGAAACACTCTAACAAACTACTAACAAAACACTGTGTTTTGATAGTATTCCATTAGTATAGAAAATCACATGCAAATGAGGCTAACAAAACACTCTAACAAAATACTAACAAAGCATAAGTAACAAATCATCAATAAACCACTAAATTTGAATTTTTAAAATTATAATTAGCAAATTCACAAGTCTTTGAAAACATCTAAACACAGTCTCATATTGAAACATTACATGTATAAACATCTTGTTTCACAGTATTTTGAATTCCAGGTTTGACATTATTGTTCAATAGACAATAGCACACCATTCCAACATTAAAAAACACCAAGTTCAATTCATGATCACTCTCTTATATCAATCATTCTCTGCAGTGAAATCCTTTGGTGTAAGAGATATAATAAATTAATTCTCAATCCATTGACCATTTCTCCATTCACATACATTTTCACAGAATTTTCAAGTATAATTATAATTCATTTAACCCAGTGCTTAAAACTGATCTAAGCTGGGTAGTATATGGATTAAAGGTCGATCAATCTTAAAATGAACAAAAACCCAATAAAAACAGGCCATATACACATCCACATTCACAGATTGAAGGTTTAACTGTAGTCCAGTTTAAAAGAACTTTATGTCATGCAATAAATAAATACCTTTGTTATATCCAGATTCATCCTGATTTTGCTTTTTCCAATCAGGGATCAATATATATACTAACACTTTACATGTCCCTTCACCAATCTCTTTGTTTCTCTCTGACCTAGTGCTGGTGGTTTGAAAATTGGCGCAAAACTAGTAAAACAGGATATAAAAAGATAAGTTGTTCTTGGAAGATTTTACTGCTCTTAGATAAGTCAACCCTTAACATGTCTGTTAATCAAATGAAATGCTAACAAAATATTAATTTGATGCAGACAAGTATAATGAAACACTTTCAAAATGCAATTTCATTCTGCAGAGTGTAATGAAACATTAATAAAACACCAACATTGTAATGAAACATTAACAAAATACCATGCCACCCCATCCTGTAAAGTATAGCATTGATGTTTCGTTAAATGCAACACTTTCAAAACATACTAAGAAAATATAAAAGTATGATTTGGTAGTGTTTTGAAGATATTTTGAAAGTATTTTGTTAGATTTCTTTTTCATTTGGGCTAGGATACTAATTTTACAATTGAAAGGCCAAGCCCTCTTCCAAGGGATGATAATCAGGAACAGGCAAAAATAGGGCAGAGTCATTAAAATATTCTCAAGAACCACTGGGCCAGAAATGCAGAAAGCTGTTTGAGGTAGATTAGATTCTTAACTTTTCAAAACATGGCCCCTGGGGTTTGAATGGGGCCATGGTAGGGAACCAAATTTTCACGTAGGATTATATAAGGACAGAGCTTAAACTCCTCTACTTAAGAACAGCAAGGCCATGAAAAATTACATTGATATGGAAGCATCCTCTGGAGGTGTAGATTCATTTACATAGTGATATATGTTAAGATATAGGGAAAGAATCAAAGTGACTCAGGTGGGCATTGTGGCCTATAGCCCGCTTGTTGTTTGTGATGGAGCCAAAGTGAATAGAATATGAAAGCAAAGGAATAAAAAATGAAAAATAACAAGAAGAGCAGGGTTACAACATAAAAAATTTGAATTTCAGCCTTTCTTTACCTGTAAGCTATGGGTACAATGTTTTATGATATTTTGCAGGATGGATTTTTGGAGCGGCTGACTTCCAGTGAATTTGTGGCTCTGTCTCGGGAGGTTGAGAAGTTTATCACGGATTGTGAGACCATTAGTGGTAGACGGTGTATGTCACTGCGATTCTGTCTACAGTCACAGGTGAGTACTAAGCTAGCTCTACTCTGTTAGCGAACTGAAAATTCACTGATGAATGTCATAGAGTTTATTGTGTTATTTAATAAATGATACTAGTGTTGAATAATCGGGAAAATTTCATAATCGATAATCGGTCAAAATCGGAGAAGCTTAATCGATCAATCATCGACTTACTTGGTAATTCAAATTTCAAATACAAAATTCTATTTCTTTAAAGCATTTATCATTTGTGGAACAAAGTAGAAATAAAATTTTATCAAGTTTATTCTAAAGACAACTTTTTTGTTGTATAAGTAACAAAGAAACAGAATTTTTCTTCACATATTTGCTCATAAAACTAAAAATGTTTGTCATGACATCAGATTTTGCATGCCCTAGTTAATATGATAATCTAACTGTGTCTCAGTACAAGCCCTCACCACATTTAGAATATGCCCCATATACTTGCAATGTAGCAAATGGGAGAGGATACGCTCTGACACAATTTTGAAGAACATAAAAGGGTTTGCACTGGAAATAATTTTTGAATAAATCAAAACAATCCTTTTGGAGATTGCTTATGCATTTTATCCCAAAAAATAATCCATATAAAGACGAAAATCCAACGTTTTTCTCTCGCTTCACATTTACCTGCCATGTTTACATTCGGAACTCTCGAGATTGTCCGCAGTAAATGCACTGAGTATGATTTATTGCCTGTGTTTCTTTTGCTACATTACGAATACACGGAACGAATTCTATCGTTAAACCGGGTCCATAGGAAAATATCATTTTATCACTAGAATGTTCTTTCTATGCATTTCCCTGGATGTGGGTAAATTTCTACTTGAGTGTTGTAAAAAAATATCTTCACCTTCGGACGCCATTTTTGTTGACCTCCTTTCGTTTTACATGTATTGTTAATGTGTATGTATTAGTTTCGTTCAAATCATACAAGTTTATTTGGGTGAGTTTATTTGGGCGACAATCGATTATGAAAAACGTAATCGATAATCGGAATCGAAGACCCAAAAACGATCGACAATCGATCGTCGGCGACAATCGTTTCATCACTAAATGATACCCTTTAAATTCTGAATTCTGCAGGCACTTAAATTTGTAAACAGATTCCATGAAGAAAGACGGACCAAACTCAGGTAATCATCACATTGTAGTAGAATTATGTGTTCATTGGATGTGTAATTACTGCTCATGAAAACATAAAGTAAGAATTTCCACATCTATAGAATAATGTTGTTTATTGTAGCCTCATTTTGGACAATGAGCGATGGAAACAAGCGGACGTCCCAGCAGAATTCCAAGAGCTCGTAAATCATATCACCCTAACAGGTACACTAAAATGCATAGTATGTCTTTAAAATAGAAAATATTTCACAGATTTATGATTTATATTGTTATCTCAAAGTCTCTAGAAACACATCCCAGCTTACAAAACCTGGTGAATGCTTTATAGATGTTTTTTTTAAACCATAAATAGACTAGGATCCTGTTAATTGTTGATCTCTTCTCATTTTCAGGCATGTTAAGTCTACCAGAAAGGACTGCAGATTCAGGTGTGTACCTAAATTTTGTATTTATTTTCAATTGATTATTTGTAATACAGGTGTGTACATTAATGTTCTATTAATAAGCACTTTAAACCAAGTATTATACTTGCCATGTTTTATTTGCAGATGACAAATAGTGAATTAGCTGCAACCATAAATTTCCACAAACAAATAGTCACAATTTTTTTTGCTTCCAAAAATATGTTTTATATCAATTCAAATTCTTACATATGCCCCTTAACTAGATAAAATTCTACTGTGGATACTAATTTTGCATTAGCTATGGTGTTCTGTATTTTATTGTGTCGGGGTTTTTTTCGTGATACAATATTGTAACTCTATTGGACTTGATGACAAAGATCGTAAAGAAAACTATGAACAGAGGTACAAGCTCACAGATGGCGTTGATATTTATGTCACATGTTTAATACTTGGTTTACATGTATTAGACTGTTCTAGTTATGCATGGTAAGTTATAAATATTATTTATGATATTTATAATGTTACTATTATTTGACTTGTTTTATGTTCAGATAAAGGCCCTACAGAAGTGTTGGTAGTGGAAGATCAAACATTTGCAGTTGTAGGGTAAGTATTTACTTACTTACTTAATTATCTAATTTCCGCCCCCAGAGAATGTATGAGGCCTTCCCTAATGTAGATTTTCCGCAACTTCCATGGAATTCCAAAGCATATTCCATGGAATTCCATGGAATTTTTGTTCCGCGGAATTCTTAAGAAATCTCCGGAGTATTGGGACGGAACTTTTTTCGGAATGATTTGGAATTTTTAATCTAGCTTGGAAAAGAGCGGAACAATGCCAGAATGGAAATTTGCGGAGGAAATCCATGGAATTCCAGGATGTTTGTAAATCTAAGGAATTCCATGGAAATCCATGGAATTCCAGGATTCCCAATTCCAAAAACGTGTACAATGAAAACTGAAATAATAAGTGCCAAATAATTACAAAAAAAAATTGATAACATCACAATTTTTCATATAGATCAAATCTATATTTTCAAAATGAAAAATTCATTGTTTGTTTTACAATGTTTTTTTTAAGACAAATATTGCATATAATCTCAGATGTACAATATAAGCACACTTTTTCAATGCATTCTCACTGGAAGTATTTTACAACAAAGGTTATTGACAAAAATATCCAGAGAAGAATAAGATTACTGGAGAATCACCTTGATTAAATTAATGATAATCATGTTAAGATAAATTTAATGTATTTACTGTAGTATATACTCCAGTCTGCGTTTTCTAAAATAAGAAGTTAGTTTTATTAAATGACATTGGACATGGAATTGGAGAGGTCATCGAAACCTCAACAGAGTATACATTTACAATGAACTGCCAGTGGCTTATGTACTGGTACAGAGTTAATGACTAGAGTGACAAACACATATGTATTAAATGCAAAAAATATGTACTACACAACTATATTGATACAAAGATCCCATAAAATCAACAGATGCTAAAGTATTTTCCCCAACGTACGTGCCAAAGATCCCAATTAATGAAGATCCAAAACTTCCGACGTGTTTGCTAGAGAATCACTTCCTCACTGATATCCCATGAAATTAGTAAATGGTTATGTTATAGGGTTGACAGATAATTGGTGTCACAAACGCATTCACTTTCAGTACGAAAGCTCAGAAAGTTGGATTATGATCATTCCCACAGACACTTCAAACTTTCCTTGCACAATTTCTGAAAGAAAAGATGACCATTAAGATGCATCATTATTGATATCCATATAAATATATGACAAATAATAAACTAAAACTACACAAAACAGTTGGTTTTTTCGACCTGGCAAATCAGTTTACCGTAGAATATGAATTCACTATCTTGCAATTTTTTGTTCAAATTATAGGATTAATTGTGATAAATATAAAAATGTGAAAAGTTTATAGATGACAGACAACATCAGGCACTGATTAAAAAACTCACTTAGGCCTTAAAATGGTTCAGGTGAGCTAGAACGAAAAGGTTAGAGCTCAAGCTCAATGCCTGACTGATACTGAAAAAGATGTGATTTTATTGATTTGAAAATAATTAAGAAATCTGACCTTTTGGGGGTTTTTTTCATACAGCTCTTGTCCTTGTGAGCAGGGATTCTTGTAGAATGGATGGTTACTTCATAGTAGATGATTGCAGCATGTTTGATCTAAAATAATTATGCATGCCTGTGCAGTTAGCACGTTTAGATTACCTGTCAGAATTCATTGTTTTAAATTATTAGAATAAGGAATTTAAGCGTGTTAAGAATATAAACCTTTAAATTTTGTTTACATGGCAAACTTGAAATAATTTTTTTTTAATCTTATGCTAATAGACATGATAGACATGGATTAATAAAATCAAAGTTAGTTTACTTGGTTTGAATAATAATTTGAGCTAGTTCTCACCATATTCACAAGCCTTAGGTGACTGATTGGCTAAGCATCTACATCCACCAAGTTATAAAACGCCATCGCTGTGGTGATCATGTCAGGCACTATGCAGCAACTATAAAATAATTAAAATAAGAGTTGAAAATGATCATGAACATGCATTAGAAAATATATAATTAATTACATTGTACATCATACTCTGTAAATGTTATCTTAATGCTTTACATCAGTTCGATCCCAAACGAGGAAATTCGAGTTTAAATCCATGATCTTAAATTATTACAAAATTGAAATAGTGAACTAACTATTTCACTGTCGGGCAGTTTATGTGTGGTGTCCACAGGTCCAGACTAATGAACAGTAGCAGACGCGTTCTTCATTCAAGGACACATAAAATACTGTACAATATTGTACCTACCAGGTCTTAAAATGTCTTCATCTTCTTCCATCCAAAGCTGCAGAGGATTCCCCTGTTCTAGACACCCTCTTTCCAACTTTCCTTCTGTGCAACATCAACATGATCATGAACATCGCATTCGATATTTTTGAATTTCGGCGTGTTGTTTAAATTAATTGTTCATCAAGCCCGACTTCGAGCCCGATGTTATTGTACTATTATTCGACAGTTAAAAAAATCTAAGTAATTTTCCACAGTTTTCCAGCGCAGAAAATGGCTAAGTTTCTCATTTTATCATTTTTTTCCAAAGAATTCCACTACTTTCCAAACCAAAAAATGTCTACGTCCAATTTTTTTTTCAAATTCCAAAATATTCCAAAAACTTCCAGATACACTTTTCAAGTTTGGTATAGAAATGATTGGAATTCCATGGAATTCCAAAACTTTTCCAAACCCTTTGGAAAATCTACATTAGGGTTATAGGGAAAGTAAATTTGGGTAAAATCCTAGTGCACATGTTGTCAAAATAGGTAGAGTTAAAAGCCAAAGATGAATTTCTGCATGTATTAATTAATATTAGTTTTAATGTTCAATTTGGTATTATGTAAATATTGCACTGTCATTTTCCAACACAGCACAGAACTGATGATCAATGATGTTAAATAATTCACAGTATAGAAGATGTTTATTCATATGGAGGGTAATCGTGTTCAAAAATCCAGACTTGTAAGTTTGTAAATCCAAACTTGAAAGTTTGTTAATCCAAACTTGTAATCGTATCAGTTTCATAGTCTACATATGTAAGTAGGTAATTCCGAACATCCAAGTATGTAGTTGTGAACATACAACTGTGTTGACTTGGAGTTTATATCATGAATGTGTGTACATTGTATCTTTGATGCAAAACTTTGTTTTCCGTAATTTATATTTCCGCACTCTGAATAAAACACAAAGACAATTCACAAGTCTGCAAAATTTTAATGTAAAGTCTACATGTTTGTCGAATTTTGTTAATGTGAAACTATGGAAGGGCATCAGTGCCACAATAATTCTTTTTTTAATTTTAACATTTTTTCAAAATGAAATAAATTATTTAGATTTATTTTCTTTTTTATGGCGTCGAGTGAAGCTCGAGCGTCATCTAGTGATTTGTCAGATTTACGCGACCGAATGTGTCAGTGGATGCATCCGCAATTGAAAATAGCAACAGCTGTAAACCAATTTCTTTGAAAACACTCACAATGAATAATAGCTTGAATATGAAATTATGTCAGTTGTATCTTCAATTAATTCTACTACAAAACAACGATATTATGGATAATTTTTACGCAAGAAAAAAGATATGGTTATTGCAGATGAATTTCTATAGAGAGTGTGTGTCGAATGACATGAATAACATTTTGGGACCGATTACAAACAACCTTAAAGATGGTAAAATAATTACAAAATATGAATACTGTAGGACTATAAAGATTGAATTTCTTAATCTCAGCTTTACCTTTACATTCTTCAATCGAATTTTGTCCGAACAACTGATGATATTGGCCATGCAGTATTATTGTATTTATCCATTTCTTCCATTTTTTACCACTCCCTATCGTAACTTGATTGTGCTTGTAATAGTAGAGTCATGGTCGTAGTTTAGATGCAATCACTTTACTGTAGAAGGACGCTCTGACAATGGCAATTAGAAAGAATAATATATAAATTTATGAAACCCTTCATAGGTCTTTGATTGATTGAAAAGAAATTAGTTTGATCAACGGGTCTTGTGTAGAAAAAATGAATAAGTTAAAAAAAATTAGTACCTCGGAGAAAAAAACACGGGCTTGTGTAGAAAAAATAAATCAGTTAAAAAAAATTGGTATCTCGGAGAAAAAAAAACACTGTTTTTTTTTAGAGACCTTTTACCTTGATTAGTTGATATAGATCAAGTTTGCATTTCGTTCTGCTTCATTGATTTTGAAGGAATTCATATGCACTAAATTTATGTCGTGATGCACTACTTGAATTTAAAATCTAATCGAGATTATCATGATTTGAAACTTGCTGGATACCTTTATATTGACAAATATAAATCAAGTTTGATTTCTATGGTATAAAATTGTTGTCCAACCATGTAAAATAAGCTGTTCTGATCAGAGCATTTGTGTGTGTCAAATGTGATAATTGAAAAAGCGACCACCTTCTCTCTAAATTTTTAGTTGCATTTTATGATATATTATTACATTCAAATGAGGCATTCATTAGAAAATAGAAATTTAAATGAACTACTACATGTAGTATATTACCGGTGTTGTAGAGTAGGGTTTCCCCCATAGCCAGCTTTCCTCCCGGAAGTCACTGTACTCAATCTAGAGTAGGATTTCCTCCAAAGACGTCACAAGTCTTTCTTTGTAGGGCAGATCCAATACATTTCATCCATATTCCAGTAATAATTGAAATGTCCATATTTAATTAACAATTTTTCATACACAGACTCTAATAAAATGACACCTGGCTAAAGAGAAAAGGGGAACCTGGTAGGGAACATGTATTGCTTACGCAATACTCCCAGAATGCTTGGTTAACTATAGCATAGATTTTTATTTGTTTACAGTGTATATGTTTATTTGTTTACAGTATAGATGTTTATTCATATGTTTATTTGTTTACAGTATGTTTATTTGTTGACAGTATGTTTACTTGTTTACAGGACGGTGCTGATGTTGTTGAAGATGATGGTGGAGTATTGTCAGTGTGTTAATGACATTCCGTCAGCGGCACCAGATCTGTTGTCAAGACTGGTAGACCTCTTCAAAGTGAGTCTCAGATCCATGTTAAATACATGTATACTGTAAACCAACTTTTATTCGCGACAACTTTATTTCGCAATTTACCAAGGATAAACTTAAGTTCGCGACAATAAATTTTCTCGATCAAGCCTTTTTGGATCTGTTGTTAATACACAAATACGCTTTAAAAGCCGGTAAATCGCGGCGAGAAATATTCGCAATGGTGAGGCTCTCGCGAACTTCGCGAAAATTTCTCGCACGCGAATAAAAGTTGGTTTATAGTAATCATTATGTACTTGTTAATTACATAACTACGAAATCCCTAATTAGAAATGTGAATTATCTATGATATGTTTTGTATTTTCTCGACAGTAATTCCTACAACATTTATTATATTTATTAAAAAAAATGGAGATAAATCAAGATAATCTTAAAATTCGTGAATTATATATCAGTGATATGCTTATAATATATTTTCTCTACAGTAATTCTTACATGTATTCAATCTAATAAAAATCAGATGTTAGATCCACTCACATACTCGCTACACTATCATCTAACAACATCCCATAGAGGGTCACGTCAGAGGTCAAATCCAGAACAACTCTAGACTTATCCGCTTCAAAAAATGTACGATGAATTTGCAGGCGATGAATTGATTGGTTGATCGAATTTGACCTCTGACGTGATGTTGTTAGATGTTAGATGTTAGTGTAGCGAGTAAGTGAGCGGATTTAACATCTATTTTAATTAGATTGATGTGTACAATTCTTACATTTATTATTGTGTCTATAAAAAAATGGAGATAAACCAAGATAATCTTATTGTCAGAGATTGTTGTAAAAGGGAGGTAACTTATAAAAATTTTGATGTTCAATGTTGTAGATTTTCAATTCAAGAACTTGCCAGCTGGTGTTTAAGGTGCATGCAGGTGCCCTTCAACTTGTAGGACTGAAAACCATCTCCACAAAAAATCTAGGTACACAGTGCTCTTAATAATGCATATCAGTATCTAATAATCTTAAACTGCAATTTGTTTGTGGGAGAAAACTTGAACTATAGGACCTTATCCTTAATTATTTTTGAGGGATCAAATTTTTGTGGTTTAAAGGAAAAATTACTGGTGTGAGGGAATTTGTTTTCGTGGTTAAAAGAGTACAACTGTACTGGCCTGGGGGCCATAAAACTTAGACGAGCTCCCTTTTGATCTCAGTCTCACTTTTCAACTATATATATATTCCTTCAGAAAAAGTGAGACTGAGATCAAAAGTGAGCTCGTCTAAGTTTTATGGCCCCCAGGCCTGTTGTGCCAGATTTTAATATTTCAGGGGGGGATTTAAATTCATGTGTCTCTCTTCATCATTTCAACAACGAATTTTAAATCCCAACGAAAATTAGTTATTTCAATGTATATATATACAGAACAAAGTAGATCAGAGGAAATTCAGATTGTTGGTTTGTTTTCAGCTCTGGCCTCCAGATGTTTACAGTTGGTTGTGTACTTCATTCCTAAAGTCCGCATCCATTTTGAGGAAAGACTGGCTTCTAAAAATAAAACAATGCTCAAACACCTGGACCAAGTACAAAAGGTAAACTACATATATGTATTGTATTGGGGGACGGAAATTCCAATTGTCTAAATAGAGACTTTACTGATTGATGTATTTCATAGCATAACCTTTGTAATTATGTGGTCTTCTACAATGTTTATATTTTTTAGGTCTCGATCCTTTTGCTATCTGTTATTGTTTGTCATTGTGTGTCCATAGTTAATATAAAATGATATCTGCCTCTTCTCTAGAACTGCTAAAGAAATTTCAACTAATTTCAGCATATGACATCTATGGTCTTATTTATTTTAATAACATGTTTACTTAGATATTAGTATTTTTTAAAGTTGAGTTCATTTTTTAAAAATAACATGTATACTTTTAAAAAATGAGCTCAACTTTAAAAAATATTAATATCTATAAAAAGAGTGATAACTGAGTAGACGATATCCTTTTGCCAGTTGAGAAATAGAAATTGAGTTAATTATTTTCCCTTTCAGTATGCCAATAAAATTCATCAGTGGCCTTGGAAATTTTACTTTAAAAACAATTATTCCCTTTTGTAAATCACTCAAGAAATTAACCACATCTTTTTCAATGACCAAGAGAAGCCAAATGTAAGGGGGAGTGCTGGATTAACCATGTATTTACGATTATGTGTTTTTTAAAAGTACTACATGTGTATTCAGGGGATAGTGACAAATGGAAATATATTAGGCAAGTAAAAAGGTATACTCTTTATATAAATATAACCAGACTAACTATTTTACTCAGATTAAAATGTACATGTAAGATATTAATAACTTCACCAATCATCAATAAAAAAGAAACAGGTCTTCTCATTTGTAATTTATGAGCGTGCGTTGCATTGTTATGGTTTACAAAAACATCAAACTAAATTCATATTATTCTTTTTTCTTTAATAATAGTTTCATTGCAAATACTTGATTTTCTTCACTTGTCTTTTACTAATATACTGAGCAACAAACAGATTGTCATTTTTATCTATACACAGTCCATGGGGATCACTCAGTCCACAGTCTATGTAACAGAGGAACTGTCCATCCTGGTCTATGATGTGGACACAGTGATTGTTATAATCAGCTGTAAGGATGTGACTCTGACTGTCTGTGGTGATTCCTTGTGAATTGAATGGTTTGTTCTTTGGAGCAGGAGTATGTCCAGTGTACCTGAATCTCAGTTTCCCGGCCTGATTGACCACCACTACTGCATTAGCTCCATCATGAGACACACAGATATCCAGGTTCTTGTTCTCTGTTATGTATCTGAAATAACCATCAGATGAATAGAGAGGTTTACCTTTATCATCAAACTGAATGGTTTGTTTCTTTGTGGAGCCAGAGTAACGGACAACTTTTGTTTGTGTGTTATCATCACTGATCGTGATAACCAGGAGGTCACCAGAGGAGGTACTACAGACACCGCGAGGTCTCCAGTTCTGTAGTCTGATCACCTCCTCTATCTTCTCATTCTTCACAATGTTCACGGTTCTATCACCGTAATCAGTATAAACCAGATCTCCACTTTTTGTCACTGCTATGTCAGTTGGTGTGTACCCTGACTTGGTTGTGATTGACTTGAGTAGTGACCCCTGATTGATGCTGTAGAGTTTCATGGTGTTGACATCTCCTCTTGTCCAGATTTCTTCATCACTCAGACAGGCCATATTGAGAAGGTATCTATCATACCCAGTGTCCATGGTGGTGACAGTCTCAGTGGTTCATCAAGCAGCTGTTTGACTGGAGGAGAGGATCCAGTTTCTGGTGATTTCTGTGTTGTCTTCATGCTGTAGCTGTGTTTATCTGAAGTTAAAGAACTTAATGATACAGTTCCAAACAATTTGCTGAATTCTGCTTGGATTTTTCCTGGAGCAAATTTAGGTAAGGAGGGAACCATTTTTTCTGGAAGATTTCTGTGTCTGTCTATATCAGAAGTGACACTAAATAATTTTGAAATGTTATTAGAATTTACAGCAATATCCATTGAATCAATTTCATCCTTGATGTCAGACGTTGTCTTGTTTATTTCATCCAGATGTTTCTGTAGAGTTTGTATCTGTGTGTTTTTCATGACATCAACTTCATCTTTAAGTTTCTTGACAAGTTTGTCAATTTCTCTGTGCCAGTCCTCTCCATGTTTTGTTATGGCTGTTGAGAGATCTCCATATTCCTTTTCTAACTGACTCATTCTGTTTTGTACATCAGAGGCAATGTCCTGGTAGGTGGGATAAATTGTCTCTTTTAATTCAGTGTATTCTTTTAAGATCTTGTCTTTTTTTTCATCAACAACTTGTAAAACTTTTAATAATTTATGACCGAGATGGTGATCTGAAGTAAGACAGGTGGCACACACAGGAATGTCACATTGACTACAGTACATTTCACATCTATCTTTGTTATGAGTTGTACATCCAGGGTAGAGGGGGGTAGATTTTCTGGCTTGAATTTTAACAACTTTGTGGTCCTTGGATTCATCAGAAATCAAGTGATCTCCCACACAGGCCTTACACAGGTTGACAAGACATGTATCACAGTGCATCTGTATCACAGCGGTCTCACACAGGTCACATCGCATCACATCCTGGGCACTGGTACGGGGGTCCATGGTGAAACTATAGGCCTAGTATAGAAAAAAAAATGTGTGAATTCTATGTTTTGTCAAGGAACCTCAGATAAAGTAAAACAAATAAATAATGTGTGTTTGAACTTGTCAAATCATGGAGAAATAAACTAATATAGTTGTAGCATATTCACAATAACTTAAATCTCTGTGAAATAAATAAAGCAGAGTTGTCTTTTCTTTCATCCTCACGTTATACAAGTTCTCTTTGCTATCTTTGTATCTTTGTTGTAAATGGTGCAATGGGAGTTCAGAAATACTTTGTACATTATCAGTAAAATGTAGATTACAAAATCAACTTTTGAAAACATACACCTCTTGTTGCAGTCATACGCCATAATGATGCCCATGACCTTGAGAGCAATACTTTGATCAAGAAATTTGTTAAGATCAAGAAATGAATGTATAGGTGTTAGGTGATACATGTATGTATAAATTGGAGAAATATTGTTTGTCTTCTAAAATAAGAAAATCAATTAATAAACAAAATTAATATGAAATGAAATCAACCCGTAATTGTTACCTGACTTTAATGGCGTCTGTCTTGTCAGCCAAATACAGTACAAGTATCACTTGACCCACTTACCTGTGTTATATACCTGTCAGGTATTTTACTTCCTGGTCTGCGTGTACTGGGGATTTAAATATTTTAGTTGTTTACTCTGCCTATTTTAACATTATAATCTTTACCAATATAAGTAAGTATAAAAGTATTTATACTCCAACTTTCCTTGCTTCAATTAAATAAATTAAGTGAGAATAAGTTGTATTGCTACTTTTTTTGTCTTGTATACTAATAAATTATAATGTTAAAATAATTCAATATAAGAGTGGTGTAAAGCAAAAACTTGCCTGGGGACTTAGAAATTTTGACTAGTAATAGTATATATTTTTGTGATGGAGAATCTTTAAAAGTTCATACCTGATATAAAGATTGCTCATGAGCAGAGGATGTGTTTTGACCTTGACCAAAGGTCATTCTCATACGTTCAAGGTCACTGACAGAAAAAGTATAACATTTTGTCCAGGTTATACATTTGTAATGATGAATTATTAAAAGATCAAACTTGGTACAAAGTTTGTTTATGACCTGATGTTTGTATAACTATCACACAGGGTCATTGTGGTGACAATTGTAAGGGCCATTGACACAGCTTACTTTACATTTTTGATAATACAAATATTTGAGCTTTTCCATGGCAAAGCATGGACTTTCCTATTATACGCAAAAAAGAGTCGGGTTTAATTTAAATTTGAAAATAATTCATCAATTTTTAGGTCACCTGAGTAAGCTCAGGTGACCTATTGCTATCTGTTTTCTTCTGTCGTCGTGCGTCGTCCGTCGTGCGTTAACATTTGAACATTTTCAGCTTCTTCTCTGCAACCACTGAACCAATTTCAACCAAATTTGGCACAAAGCATCTATGGGTGAAGGGGAACAAAATTTGTGAATTTCATGATCCCTGCCCCCCTGGGGCCTGAGGGGTGGGGCCAAAACCACTAAAATTAATGCAATCTTTAAAAATCTTCTTGTTTACTCCTGGACATCAAGCAGTCAAACTGTTTGCATGATTGTAATCAGCAATGAGTCCTCTACCAAAATTGTGAAATTCATGGCCCTGGGGTCAGGGGTTCTAGTGCTAGGGCGGGGCTAAATAAGTAGATAGTGAAAATGCATTATTTCTTTGAAAACCTTCTCTGCTCCTGGGTATTAAATAAACCAACTAAGTACATAGTTATGATGAGCAAGAGTGCCTCTACCAAAATTGTGAATTTTATGGCCCCAGGGTCAGGGGTTCTGGTGTTAGGGCGGGGCTCTATTGATTATACAGTAAAAATACATGAATTCTTTGAAAATCTTCTTCTCTGTCTCCTGGGTATTAAATAAACTAACTAAGTACATAGTTATGATGAGCAAGAGTGCCTCTACCAAAATTGTGAATTTTATGGCCCCAGGGTCATGGGTTCTTGTTTTAGTGTGGGGCTCTAATGATTATATTAAGTGAAATGCATGAATTCTTTGAACATCTTATCCTTTGCTCCTGGTTAATATGCTAATGATCTAATTACATATTTAAGGCCAGTATTTATTTTATTTTCAGTTTTACAAACCCTCCGCTCAAGGTTTTGAATTTTCAGAAAAAAATAAAACTTTTTTTTTCTTACCGATGTCAAATTTGAGTTAGTGTAAAATTCATCAATACGAGTGCCATTCAAAACGTTTCACCCGTTCAAAGGACAAATAAAATGCTGACGACTTCGTTGCACAATGACATGCTGGTGAAATAATTATTTATTCGTTTCAGAAGTATCTGTCTGTAAATTATTTTCCTCCCCCAGTTTTTAAACTGCCCGTGGTAGCTATTGCATATTGCCAGCGACATTGTTTAGGTCTCTGTTAATTAGCTTACAGTCTAAGCATCATTCTTCAGAAAAGGGTTGCTTATTCATCAGATGTAATGAATAAAACAATGGGAGAAGTTAAGTCCATTTGAGGAAGAAATAAACAATAACCTAAAGAAATTTAAAAAAATCAATTATTAAAAGGCAAGAATATACAGATATATACAGGCATGTAGTATCATTTGTATCAGCCAGAAAAATTATTTTACACTTAATTGAAAAAACAATAACCTAAAGAAATTTAAAAAAATCAACTATTAAAAGGCAAGAATATACAGATAATTATACAGGCATGTAGTATCATTTGTATCAGCCAGAAAAATTATTTTACACTTAATTGAAAAAATGTTCACCATACTCCCCAGTACTCCCTGTCTGTTTTATGATAGGAATTATAATTTTAGGCATCAAGTAAATTTTAGAACAATGTTTACACATTCACCTAACACATAATATGTTTTACGGTGTGACCGTTGGGGCGAGCGCAGTTATGTACTATCATAAACCTACACATGAACTGCCTATCATTCAAGAAAAAAAGAAAGAAAACAAAATAATAAAAAGAAACCACTTCCCAAACATTGGGATCGAAATTCCGAACTTCTCGGAAGTTTCCGACAAAATCGGAAATACCCGAACCGATAAAGTGACGAAAGTATGATGTCAGATAAAAAGTCCTGTAGACTTAGGATGCAAACGTACGATGGTTTTATGGCATGGAAATTGCAATAAATCGTTGTTTGTATATTTTTTTCAAGTAAGTTGTTGCTATGTTTTAGCCACTTTGTTGCTATGCACCGCAAAGGATTGCTGGGAGTTTGGAATTTTTTCACGCGGTGAGATAAAAAAATTCTTGGAACAATGTGCAGATTTCAACCCGAATTTCCTCCGTTCGTACACGTTAGTCTATTGAGCTCGCTACGCGAGCGGCGCTTTGCGCCGCCTCGCTGCGGTCGCTATTAAGAAAATTAAGATATATTGAAAGACTTTTAAAGAATTGATTTTTAAAAATATATTTTGACCAACATCACAAAATTTATATAACTGGCCCAAACTGGCAGATAATGAAATAAGCAATTAAATGTTCTACTTTCCTATTTGTAAGCATTATGTGTCCAGTGGTGAGGAGCCTATTATAATAGCATAAAAAAAGAATATACAAATGTTAATAATTGATTTATCAAAATTTTTTTTTTATTTCCTTCTCCTTCGGGACTTTTTTATTCTCATGTTCATAACTAAACCTAAACATAAAAAAATGCTGGCCTTATAATGAAGAAAGGGGCCTCTTTTAAAATAGATAATTTCAGGGCTGCTGGGTCAGGGGTACCAGGGGGGTACTTTGACTAAAAATAAATTAATGCTTTGAAATCTGCCCTTTGATAAGCAATGGTGCCTCTTTCAAAATTTGTGAATTTCATGGCTTTTGGATTAAAACACAAACCAAATACAATTGCTGGAAAGTTGTTACATGATGCTCAGGTGACCTATAAGGCCCATGGGCCTCTTGTTTTAAAAAAAAATTTTTTTCTGACTCCCTTGGTATTCAGTGGAAAAACTTCATAATAATTATGAGAAATGATTTATTTTAATTGAAATTTATATCCCTGGCATAAGTGGGTTTGGTTGAAGGATAAGACTCATTTGATTTCAATATAAAGTGTAATTATGTATACGAGAAATTTATCATCATAATCATCATCATTGTCATCATCATCATCAGTAGTTATCATTGAGGAAACAGACAAATTAAAGATACATACTAAAGGCATGGTTATGATCATGTTATAAGCAAGAGTGCATTTTCCAAAATTATAAATATCTTTAATTAGCCCTATCTAAATTAATTTCATACCAGATTTTTGAATTTTGAACCCTTTAGTCAATCCTTAGGATGAGACAGTATAAACTTAGGTCCCGTATGTGTCACAGTAGGTGTATGCACAAAAAAGATCCCTCCCTGCTCAATGGCCCTATCAGTGCTAAGTATAGGACAAAATTTGCAGGTTTCCACCAGCAAGTGGTGGTGTCTCCATATGGGTAAAAAAAAATTCTCAAGAGGAATGTTATTAAAACAATATTCAATCAATCAATCGATCTTCCAAAAGAAGTTAATTCCCTTTGCTAATCAGTGTAGTTAATTACTGAAAATAATGATAGATGAATTAAAATAGGACAAAGATACTGTACTTTTATTCATTAAATAATACAGTTAATACCATGAAAATGGAATTTTAACATAACTATGACTGCTAATATTTCAGTGAATGTGGACCTGAGGAACCCATTCTGATAACAGCTCCTCGGCCACTATTCCATATAGGTCAGGGAAGGACACAACACCAATGGAATCCATGAATTACTCTGGTAGCGACATCTCATCTTCTCATTGACATCTGACTGCGTGAGGGAAATGGCGAGGAGGAATATTACAAAAAGCCCCGGATATGCTACTCCATCTAGGTCGGGAAAGGACACACTGCCATTGCAATCCAGGAAATTTGGGAGTGACACCTCGTCCTCTCATTCATCTGACTCCGTGAGGGACATGGCGTGGAGGAATATTACAAACAGCCCCCGACTGCTACTCCATCTAGGTCGGGAAGGGACACACCGCCATTGAAATCCAGGAAATTTGGGAGCGACACTGGCTCCTCTAAATCTTCTCATTCATCTGACTCTGTGAGGGACATGGCAAGAAGCAACATTACAAACAGCCCCGACCACTTCTCCATCTAGGTCAGGAAGGGACACGCCGCCATTGGAATCCAGGAAATTTTGGACCAACTCCTCGTCTACATCTTCAAGGATCTGCAAGGAGCAACATTAAATGCAACCACCCAGCTCCTCCTGATCCTCCATTGAGTTGTGGAAGCAGCTGTCTATTCTTACACCTTCCAGCTCCAGAAACCAATTTATAAACAATAAACTGTCTCCTTCACAAAGTTAAAAATCCAAGACAGAGTGCACCTCTCCTCCCTCATCAACTCACGGAGCTCTGTCTGAAATTGAATTAGCTCCATTTTCTAAAATCATTACACCAATTAATGAAAATACATTAGGGAAAAGTTTTACAATCAGGAGAATTTGCGATGTAGCCTAAAAAATAGTGGAGAAAATTATTCCTGCCCATAAGATCTTGTTGGCCTCGGAAATGATGGCT